GTGTAAAGTATTTACATCAGAAAGTATAGTGTGTGAAGTTACTGCACTCTTATCAGAAATAGGTGGAGAAAGTGTAAAGTATTTACATCAGAAAGTATAGTGTGTGAAGTTACTGCACTCTTATCAGAAATAGGTGGAGAAAGTGTAACGTATTTACATCAGAAAGTATAGTGTGTGAAGTTACTGCACTCTTATCAGAAATAGGTGGAGAAAGTGTAAAGTATTTACATCAGAAAGCAGAAACGTTTACATTTTGCCGTACAAAGAACTTGACCACATGCTTTCATAGGAACCGATATCAATGATAAATGATGACATTTGCACTTAAGCTTTGACCGGAACAACTGCTGTAAGATTCGACTAATAATATAGATTACCATAAAGACCATACGTAATGAAAAAATATAGTTTATAGCTTATAAAGATGGGAATGCAACTGAATAAAAATAATTAAAGAATAGCTCTTAAAAGGCTACACTTAAGTATTTTAAAATTATCACTTATTAAATAATTTGCTTTGACTTTTTTTTAATACAAGTTAATGACTGTACTAGTTTATTCTTGTCCCCCCGACTGTACTAGTTCATGCCCATTACTGTAACTGTATCAAGTCTACGCCTATTTCCATAACTGCACAAAGGCCATGCCCGTACAGGTGATTTTACAAAACTCATTGTTGTTTTTTTGTGACTTTGCAAAGTTCATGCTCTTTTTCTAGGTTTTACAAAGTTCATGCCTGTTTCCCTGACTTTAGTATTCGACTTTTGAGCAGGATAATCATCATTTGTCTGTGTCTTACACAGACCATAATCGAAATAGCGACCTTTTGACCAGCCTCTATTCTGTCTTGCTCGTGCGCATGCGCATCGAGTTAAATGTGTTGTACTCGCTCAAATTAGGTTCGAACTAGCTCTTATTTTCCAGCATCACATTATCGTATGATTTGCTCAAGAAAGTTTAAAAGGCTGCAATATGCGAAAAAAGGAGGAAAGCTTTAATAATGTGTACCATTTTCCAGTCATACGGCTTACATTCATATATGTTCATTCTCTTCCTACCTTAACTCTGTACGCTACCATGGTAATTATCCTAACACCATGGGTGTAACATAAAGGATTAAGATGAATATCAGGGTGATTAGAGTTTTTCATTTTTATTTTGCTCCACGGACCGAAGAGTCGCAGAGTTATTATGGTTACTAGTTGGAGGTAAAATTCTAAGGTGGAGCCACTTAATTATTAAGTTGTAAAAGAGTTTCGAGATAAAAGCATGTTTTTTTTTGTAAGCAAATCCTACCAACAGATGACAGAAGAAAGACAGACCTGAAAATTGAAGTTTTTTGTTTGTTTTTTTTTTTAGGCTTAAATTTTCACAATGGGCTATTTGCGTTGACCGCATGGATAGAGCCCTGAATTTTAGCATTATAAGACTTCAAGCTTATCGCTGAGCCACCGGGAGGGAGCAGTTAGTTGGGAGACATGCATGATATATCAATTATCTAGGTAATGCTTGATTTTAATTTCTTATTTGAATATTTGGTATGAAACACAAGCTCAGATAAATTTTGAGAAACTATAAATTAGACAACAGAGGTACGTTAATCTTATATCTTAATTAGACCTATTTAGAAAAAAATATCCGTTTACAAAGTTATGCTATAGTGAAATATGTTATAATGATATTCAGTTTTTGTCTGTCCTGAAAATGCGCGTGCATTTCGTT